GAGAGAGAGAGAGAGAGAGAGAGAGAGAGAGAGAGAGAGAGAGAGAGAGAAAGAAAGAATGAATGACAACTGCTATTATACTCCACAAGAGACTACCGTAAAGCGAAGCAATTGGGTAGTATAGGACTTATTACTGATAGGAATGGCCGCCATGTTAATAACAGGGTGACCGAACCCGAAAGCACATGTTTTACATGATATACCGCTAACCAACATTCGGCGTTCGGCAAATTACCCCTGCCGCTCGGTTTGACGCGGCTGCACTTGCATATCTCAAGGCTTCAGTTTTTGGCCTTGAGGCCGGTTGCATTCCGGCTCTTGGCCTCAACGGTAGCTTAAAGAAAATTTTGAAGACAACAGGAATTTTCGAAGTCTTCAGGAATGTATAAACCAAGAGGAATTTTACAGTCGGATTTCTCTTTTTTCCTCACAATTCGTTAGAATACGGCATTTCTTCTCGGCCTGGTCAATAAACATAAAACACCACTTTTTGCCTTATCGGACCCGACGTACGGTAGAACAAAGAGATGTTTTCTGAAGTGGAAAAAGAAACAGCTGATCAAGGGGGTTTCCCTATTTCACACATGATTGCCGTCATTGTGCTTGAGGCACCCTGTCGTCATGCACGTGTACCCATACCGGTCTCGTGTTTAGTCGCTGTGTTGTGATTGCTTACGCGTTCGATCGATACTCGGCGGAACACAAATCGAGTTATCTTTTTTACTTTCTTCTGTCTGCATCACTTTAGCACTTCTTGTGGCATCAAAAAAAGATTCTGAGTCCTCGATGCTCGTTAATTTTTGTAAAACTGAAGCCGCAGCGAGATTTTATCGACGAAACTCGTCTGTAATGGCGGGCTGCCATAAATATACAGCCGCTTCAGCCGAGAACAGCTGGGTAACCAGACCGTGACAAAACATGCATTGTCACGCTAACTGCTTTCAATTTAGTTTTTGAGAAGAAATTCAGCAAATCCGGGTTTCATCATGCCAACAACATCGTCTGATAAAAATAATGATTCGGCACACCAAAACTCCACCCCTGCCCTTTTCCTCTTTTTTTTTTTTTTTTTTGTATTTACCAATTTTTGGCTTCTTTTGGCTTTGATCAATAAATTGGTCCTCTTCGCCCGCGTCCCATGTTTATACAGGTATATCAGGAATGTTCAATTGTTGGCCCGTTTTTGGCCCTTCGTGCTCGATGCGCGCCACATTGTTCACGAAATTGTCGAAGCTCTTGAACAAACACGCTGGCTTAGCCGAAAAAATGACTTTTTGGGTAGTTGTTTATGCTAGTTTGAAGTCAAAATAATTGTTGCCTGTTTCTTCCGATCTTTTCATTCCACGGTTCAGGATGTACTCGGTGCGCCATCATTTTTGCATTGCATGTGCCAGCGAAGACGGCGCCCACACGAACATGATTGGGCCGTTCTCGTGCGTGCTCAAGTTTCAACACGACCGACGGCCCGTATTGGTTTCGCCCTTGGTCTTGGACTTCAAGCACTTTGTACATCCCTTGCTGAATATCGCGCCATTGCTGTTTCTTCTCGCTCTTGGAAGTCTTCGAGTGCTGGCCAGCAGCGCCTGTCTTGTGGTGGTGTGTCAACAACGTCATAAGTTTATCCGCGATCCATCGTGTTATACCCAAAGACGCCATTTGTTCAATTAGAATTTGGACGCCTTTTCCGCTTTTTTCTCAGCAAACCCCTTACTACAGCTGCCCAAAGAAAGTTTATACAAGAGCTTCCAGCCTGTTTGACCAAAGTTTAATTTGCACGATGTGATCTCTGCGTTTCTTTTTTGTCAAACACCCCGTCCATCACTTCATCGTAATATGGTTCCTTAGACGCCATTCTATATATTTACAAAAAAAAAAAATCAGTAGGAAATAATTCTGTTACCGATCATCAGACGCGTTACACATGAATAAGAGAGCGTTCTGTTACCCACAAATCAGGCGAGTTAGAGCACCCACATATATAAGGGGGCGTTCTGTTACCAGAACTCTGTTACGCCTTCCGCGTCGCAGCCTCACACGCTCCCATTTTATCAAAAATTATACTAACAAAGGGGGCACAATAAAAGCAAAGACAAATAACAACCCAGCTATGTTAAATCCTACCAAAAATCAAGATTACCTATTTTTATTCTAAAATTCTTTCGGTCTCTTGGCTTTTGCATGTTTACCCCAAAATGTTTTAATTTGGCCATAGCGTTCATAGTGATACATAGTGATATGATATGATATGATATGATATGATATGATATGATATGATATGATATGATATGATATGATCTTCAAAAGGCCCGCCGCGGCGCGGCCTCACAAGTTACCCATAAGGTGGCGTTTTGGGCATACACACATGTATAATGGGGCGTTCTGGGAACAGAGAAGTAGTCCAAGCCGGTTTTAGCCAGTTCTCCCACACCCCGCGAACAAAAGCGAAACCGGTTAGAACTGGCTTGTTCCAGTTTCTGGTCCCAGAACCCCCATTCTATATGTGTGTCTGTTTTCTCTATTATATATCAATGTTGTCAGTCAGTTTCTTTCATGTCACTTTAGCTGTCCATCATAACTTGCACCTGTAAGCCCTTTTGCTTTAGCGTGCGCTTGATTTCATTAGCTAGGATAAATCGGTATTGAGGAATTTAAGTCTTGTATTTTTGGGGGGTAGGAAATTTTGATGCCAGTTATTTATATGGGTGTAAAATTTCAGGCTCATGTATTTTTTTGGGTTCGCAATATGAAGCTCCGTCGGACCCCGCCCGCCCATCATGTGTACTGCGAATACCCCTCCGGGTTC